GAATATATTGAATACAAATTAAACTATATAAATAGAATATAATTATATTTATAAAATATATTTACTCATGCATAATATAAAAATGAATATCATATTTTTTATTTATCAACTTCATCACATGAAGAATAATTATGCATGTTACAACAATTAAAACTTAAATTCTTATAGTTAAATTTATTAGTAACATCGTTTATAAAATTAACACCTTTACTTAATAATAAGAAAGTACAATTGTTTGAAAATTTTGCATGTTCACGAAAAGGACAATCTCCATTAAGCCAATTACTTAATATTAAACCACAATGGAAACATTGAACTGAATCTCTAGTTTTACCGAAAAATCCTGCCTCTGATAGTTGTAATTTATCAGGTAAAGATGATGGAAATTTATTAAGTGATTGTAACCGTTTTATAAAAGTTACATACTGAGGATATTGAATACTTGGACAGTTTTTAACTGAATTTAATAATTTATTATAATCACTTGTACAATTAATTTGATAAATCATAGTGAAAAAAAAAATTATTAAGTCTATGATATTACAAAATTATACGAAAACGAACTAGTTACTGAAACAGTGGTTTATAGCGAACTAATGCTTATGTATTAAAAAAAATTATTATTTTTTTTTTTTTTTTTTTTTTTTTTTTTAAAAAGAGGTGTAAACTTAAAGCAGTGTTGCAATATAATATATACTATAGTATTGAACTAAATTATAAATCGTGTATACATCATAAATACATATTTTCAATAAAAAGTTTTAGTGTTCTATACAATACATAAAAGTCTTAGAGTTTATTAACTAACCATTTGTGTAATGCAAATACTTTGTAAAGTGTGCATTGTTTAGAACTTGAATCTTTATGATAAATACATCGAGGTAGAGTATTATCAGTTTGTAATTGATTTAACCGCGGACATTCAAGGTCTTCTAAATTTATTATTGTAATGTTTGATATGAACTTTTGTAAAATCTGTTGTTTTTGTAATCCTTTCACATATATACAGTCAAATTTTAACGATTTTAAAATCTCGTTGAGTTCACCATAATCTACGTCTCCGTATTCGAGAGGAATCTCATGATAATACCTCATCAACCATCTGTTAACGCTTTGAGATTTTGTATCTTGTTTAATTGAAGTATGTTTAAATATCCAATGTTGAATAGCTAATGATTCTATGTCTACTATAGACATCTCCTTTATAAAATATTTATTATTTACTCCAAGAATACATTGAATATCTATAATAGCCATTCTAATAGTTTTTTAATTAAAGTATTCTGAAAATAAAAAAAGTTGAAAAAAAAATTTGATAATTCATTAAAATCTCTTGTACAATTTATTTAAGAATTTATAATGAAAAGATTAATTTAGTATAAGATATTAAATTAAAAAAAAAATGAATTAAACAAAATATAAGACTTACCACACAATAGTTCGTAGTAGACTGATACTTCATGAAAAAAAAAACATAAATAAATATATAAAACTTTGATAAGTATGATTTACTATTATTTTCTAATATAATAGATATCGCCGTCGTCGATGTATACATCATTATTAGTTTTATCTGAATTAAGTGACATTGAACGTAAATAAATGTTGTATAGATATGATACTACTACTACTACTACCACTGACCGTGTTATTTAATAATATTGCTGGAATCTTGGTACTTAATAATATTACTTTACCGATTTAATTCAAGTTAAGATATAGAAATGTTGAAAAAAAAAAATAAATAAATAAAAAATAAAAACATAAACATAAAACTTTGATAACTATTATTTACTATTATTTTTTACTTTAATAGATACCGTCGTCGTCGTCGATGTAAACGTGATTATTAGTTTTT